TCACTCAACTCTGACTTGCGGCTTCCGATCTCTTCACTGAGAGACAGAGTCTGAGTACAACTGGTAACTTCATACTGACTCTTCAATTGTCTTCGGTATATAAACTCGGCATTGACCTCATACAAAATGTCGATTCCAACAGTTCCTCTATTGTTAGATGTAGATTCGTTGCTAGGGAACCGTGTTTACGGACTAGTAGTGGTCGTCTCTTTTGATTTTCATGTCAAAATATTCAGCACAGTTGGTTCATAACTAAATGAATATACCATATCAAATTAATTTAGCTTTCTCTGTAAAGCTCGTATTTTCAATTCATTCATTAGTACCCCAAAATATTACGAAAATTTTCGGCGTAGAATGAAAAATTGGGGCCATTATCGTTTGAATTTTGAAAATATTTGCTATTCAATAATATCAGTAGCTTTTAAACGAAAATATTGCCACAAATCTTTATATATATATATATATCCATGCTCCTGGAAGGAAAGGACCGCTTGTTGCAGCATGATTTGCATAACTTAGACTCATGCTGAGAGTCTAATATTTATGGCGGTAAGCTCACTTGTACTCGTTGATTTTATTAAAATTATGTGTAGCTAGGAATGCCATTAGGTAAACAGCAAATGGATATTAATGCTTGCGTCAGCATCAGTTGCACCAATATAACAAAATATTTACAGCAAACAATATACGGAACAAGGCGGAGGGGAAATACAAATTGCCTGTGTACGAGTATATAAATTTATGAAACTTTTAATGACCACATCGAAAGTCAACACTGCCATTAGTGATGTCAATGACGGTTCAAAATAATTATTCAGATCTCTTACATAATTAGTTTCTAACAATGTTACTATGTAATAAAGGCTAATTAACTAATGGAAACTCAATTATGATGCAAAATATACAACAAGCGAACTCATTTTTTCCCACACAGAAACGTTCTGTCAAATTAATTCTAGGAATGGAAGTAGAGTTAGGTAAGGCAAACTCCATGTGACAGTTTTGTTAATTCTTTTACTCTCTTACTTAGGAAGTTGCAAAGAAATTTTTAAAATTATTTTTTAAATGTAAAACTGTAATTGCTTTACTGTGTTCGTATGAAATATTGTCGGACACATATTCTTGTACAGATGAGAAAACACTTTGAAAATAAGAAATCTAGTTTACACCGATTTTTTTCTGAATTTTCTGTAGACATCAATTTAAGAAGGGAAAAAGCTAACTCTAAACTTCCTAATTATTTACTGAATATAAAATAAAATGTAAGCTATGCTTTATGTATCAATGAAATGTAGATTTAATACTGCCAGCTGAATATGACAGGAAAGTCAAAAGAATATTGATTGAAGAAAAACTTCAAATCCACGTGTCAAACTTTTAGAACTAATTGCAAGGCAGCAGAGACCATGAGGTTCATGATGGTAAGTCATTCAACTCTCTGGAAATATAAAACCAAACTATTAAAATACAACAGCAGTACGTAACATGATATGTTTGTTATATGTTAATATAATATCAGTTCTGTGTGTAATAGCTTATCCTCTTTCAACAAGAACAAAACTTATGTGTATCTAGCAACATTAAGTCATTACATGGGCTGTTGCACTGTAACCTAATGAACTTTTATTCCTATTTATACCACTCGTGTTTATACGTATTTATTAGAAACGGCTGGAGGTGGAGCCAACCGTGAGTTGAAATACCTTGCTGCCAAAAGGAAGAAGATAAAAAGTCAGTGTCCATATAATACTGAATGCGAACCGTTGGAGGATAAATTGAAGATCCTTATTACGACTTCCAGTTTAAGAAGGAATGCCCGTTAAGAAATAAAACCAAGTGTTAGACGGGATGTAGATATTGGTTATCATTACTGACGTGCAGGTAGCTTGTTGATTTTGCCTGGACTTCTCAACTCAGTAGTTTGGACTTAAAATTTTAGGCATATGCTACAATATTGCAATGAACTTTGGAATGCCGGTATCATCTTCTAAATTACATCAGTAACTTGCAATTTCGATCGCACGTAAGATATTTTGAAACATAGGCTGTAGGAATAATAAGAGGGGTCAAGAGAACAGTAAAGGAATCAAGGATCTTTATTAGGCTCTCTCATGCTATGGACAGGATAAGTCGTATAAAAAAAGAGACTTTGTTTGCCCGTAATGTGTTTCATTTTTGACAAAATGAATAAAATGGGACCTCTCATCATTTCAAATTGATCAGCCTGTTTGCCTGTTTGAGAAATTCTGGTTGCTGTGGAAGTCGATAAAAGAAAGAAAGAAAGAAGGATGGAAAGAAGGAAGGAAGGAAGGGAGGGAGGGAGGGAGGAAGGAAGGAATAAAATAAAGGTTAAAAGCTGGAGAGAAACTTCTCGGAAGTATACCGTGGTCCGAACAGAAAATGAGCCGTCTTTTGATAAGGG